TTTCCATTTGTCGGGTCACTGAAGTTGACACCTACAACTGACATACCACATAGTTGCACAATTAACAGGATTAGCTACAATTCGAGGGGCAGTGTTTCACAGGGTTAGCTACTTTGATTCCTTGCGATCTTACTACGGCATGAAAAGTGCAAAAACTCTTAATCGTAGCCTGGTGCGTTCCAGCCAGGGTTGGAGTTTTTTCTTTCTTTCCCCCTCAGAGTATCTAAAAAAAAAGGAGGGGGTGGGGAAAAAGGGATTTCCATCCGTTTGGCAGTAGCCTTTCTAATTGCAAAGCGTTATTTATCTACTGTGTCTTCTGAAAATAAGACCATTTGACATTATAAAAACCGGGCTCTTGCATGCTTAAAAAATCAGCTTTCAACAAATCTTAGCGAAACATTTCTTTTGTTAATCTTTCGCAAGAATACTATGATATTCAGCCATCGTCCTATCGTAACTCACTTTTGTGTTATAACACAAGTATTCTTCCCGTGATTACTTTGTACAAAAATAATCTGTTTTTTTCACGCACTGCTTGTTTGGTCCATCAGATCGGCTGTTACCGTTTTCCTCCTGCTCGTTGCATATGCATCAAATTTATGAATAGATTTGTAAAAGGGTGATGGTATTGGGAGTTTCCGAGAGTATCCGACCCCGCATGATATGGATTTTCATGGGGAAGCGGGACACATTGCTTCTGTGTTACAAATATGAATTATATCTGGATTTTTTTAAGGCAGTATTTAATAGTCTGGCTGAGAAAGCAGAACCCGAGGCATCAAAATTTTGCAGGAAGACAACGATGAAAGTTCGGATGAAGAGCCACACGACGAGGTAAGACTGTGGGAGGATGGATGGAAGGAGCGGTACTATAAGAGCAAATTTCAAGTTGACGGCAACGATATGGCTTTCAGACAAAAAGTCGCCATGGCCTACGTTGAAGGCCTTTGCTGGGTCCTCCAATATTATTATCAGGTTCCTAATTTTATAGTACTTTGCTTTTTCTTCTTGAACCTGCAGAGGTTTATTGTGGTGCATTTTTCTTATTTAGCTGAGGATTTTAGTCCAAAAATCTTGGTTGGAAGCTGGAAAAGTCAAAAGCCTGGGATTTATGTGGAAGGCGAACAGAGTTTAAACCAACTCAAAATTGAGCCAAGTGAGAGAAATTTAATAGACCAAAAATTAAGAAATCAAAGATCAACTTGAACCCCCTATTTTAACTCTCTGTGGGAGAAGTAGATATTCGAAAGTAGCCGCAATAGTAGCAAATGCCAATAACTACCTGCTGTAAGACTGGTGATTGCTTGTTTCAGTGATTCCCCGGAATAAGTCACTATCGTTTTGCTATCGAAATTGATGAAATGTTACGGAAAATTGATTGTGACACTGACGAAGAGTAGCCCTCCACCCATTCCCAACATCCACTTATTGCAGTCAGTGGTTTAATATTGCAAGATGATTGTACCCTCACTTATTTTCTCGCTCATAACATTTAAATTAACCTTTGACTGTATTTTTTCAATACTTTTTTTTTAC